GATGTGGCACACTTAAGTCTTAAATATCTACGCACCTATAGTTGATGTTAAGTCCACAAATGAGCCGCCAGAATTGCTGGCAGTAGCGTGCACGGTATGAAAAATGTTCCCAACGAGTTTAATGGAAGAACTATATATAACTATTAATTTAATTTACTTAATTTTAATAATAAAACTTGGTACGCCCATGTGCGCGGTCCCTTTGAAGTCGGTACTAATCGGTTATGCTGCCGTGTTGGATTGTGTCTAGAAAGACTATAAAAAGAAAATTGGCTATGCAATTTTTTCTCATTTTAATTTTCTAGCAAATTTTTAATAAAAAATAGTTCTATAATAATAAAAAATAAAAAAATAGACCCAAAATGAGTAAAAATTTATTTGAGTGTATTAATTTTAAAACTTATGCAACGTTTACCTACCTAGTTGCAATTTTGATTTTTGTGCTTTACATTTATTAAAGAAAACTGTATTCGCTATTAAAAAAAAAACAAATGTAGTCATTTTCTTGTTAAAAGAGCTTTCCAACAAGATACAACAAACAGTATCATCTCATTTAAAAAAACTAAGTAAAGTAGTTTTCACCCCGAAAAGGTTTGAAAATTTTTTTTTTAATATGACAGGAAAGTCCACAAAAACTCAATCGACCTGTTTTTGCGTTTTAACCAAATATTTTATCCGGCGGCTCTAGCGAATTAGTTCCAGTTAAAGTCCCCACCCTGTATACAAAAATAAAAATTCTGGTAAAAAATAAAATGCAGTTACTACTTTACCTATTTAATACACATATAGGTATAATTTCACCAAATTACATCAAAATTGAATAATTTTTGGAAAAAGGAAATATAAAAAACAACAAAAAAATTCGAACGAACTTTTGCATATTTATAGAAAATTTTGAGGTTATGTTAAAAGTGACTTCTACAAGAGCTGCAGATTTCTGCTTAATCTACAACTTTTGCATTATAAATTTTTCACCCCTTTTCAATCCCCTAAAACTTTACTTCAACTCCCTCCCAGGTTGCATTTATTTATTTTGAATTTAATATAAGCCCCTCTATCATTTATACTTATCAAAGTCCTGTTAATACTTTTTTTCTCATAGTTTAATTTGATTGGACTAATATATAAATGATAAAACATACAATTGGTGCGTTTTATTATAATATAAAAATTTAAATGTAGTTTTCCATCAAAACCCCAGAATACCTATTTGTTATAATCTTTTTTTATTTCAGCCTTGACTTTTAGTCAAGGTTTTACACTATAATTTATTTTTTTTTTATTTTTATGGTTCATGTTATTAAGATTTCACCAACTTTTTTGTTTTTAATTTAATATTTAGTATTTTTAAAAATACATGTTTTCATTGAGTTCAGGTATGGTAATAAACTATTGTCTATACAATAAGTACATAATGATGTTTTTATGTTTGCTGTTTTAATTTTGTATTAAATAATTGCTAATTTCTCATTATTTAATTAAATTAAATGTTTTTCTATTACATTCACAAAAAAATCAATTGTATTATTTTTTCTGTATTTTCTGGGAAAATGTTCTACATTTTTACAAGTGGATAAAAGGTTTGGGTATAATATACAGGGTGTCCTTTAAAATGTGTCCCAAAATTCTTAGGCAGATTCCTTAACCAAAAAATGGAAAAAAAGTTCCTATAGACCTATGTCCTAAAGTGCCCCCTAAGCGAGCAACAGCCTCTCGAAATCATTTTTTTTATTTTGATTTTTTGAATTTTCTTAAAAATGGAAACAAATAAAAGAACCAAATTTTGGCTGTTAAATATGATCAATAATAGTGACCTTTTGACACCTTCAAAAAGAAATTATTTCGTCAGGGGTGTACTTGGGAATTTTTTGAAAATTTTGATTATTCATAACTTTTTTGTGTTTTTGGTAATGACTTATCCATATTTTTTTTTACATTCTACATTGAAAACTACGTCAAAAAGGAATACTTGTTTGATCTCGATTGGAGCAGCCGTTTCCGAGAAAACATCATCCAAAGATATTCGTCCACTTTAGCTTAATTTTCAATTTTCCTAAATTACCTCGGTGAATCTCGTAAATAAAAATAACTTTTTTAGCTCTCTCTAAATAATTGTAGTTCAAATGTCGTGGTGGGAATATTTTTATTTAATAATAAGAAACGGTTTAAAAAAATATTTATTCTAAAAAAACAAATCAAAAAAAATTAAAGCAGATGCTCAATGTGGCGACCATTGGTTTCCACACACAAGCGCAACCGTCGCATCATAGACTGTCTTACACGAAAAAATACTTCAGGATTATTCCTAAGAACTTCGCAATGATGAAAAACTCGTTCTTCCAATTCTTCAACTGTTTCAACAGGACTGGAATAAACCAATGATTTTAAATAACCCCAAACAAAAAAATCCATTGGATTTAGATCTGGTGAACGAGGTGGCCAGTTAACAGGACAACCTCTGCCAATTACTCTACCCTCAAATCTTTCGTTAAGGTGCTGTCTAGCTTCAAGGCTGTAATGTGGTGGAGCTCCATCATGCATAAACCACATGTTATGTCTGATTTGAATCGGAATATTATCAAGAAGCTCATGTAAGTTATTTTCCAAAAAAAGCCTGTATGCTGCTCCATTTAACCTATTCGGCAAAACAAATGGTCCAATAAGGTAATTATCAATAACTCCAGCCCAGACGTTTATTGAAAATTTATCCTGGTGGTGACGTTCAACAACCGCGTGAGGGTTATCTTCAGCCCATTCATGCATATTTCGAAAATTTATTATACCATCTCTAGTGAAACCAGCTTCATCGGTAAATAGCACTTTATTAAGAAACATTGCATCTTGATTACATCTTCCAAGAAACCATTCAGAAAAGATAACTCGCGGCTCATAATCAGTAGCTTTAAGTGCCTGAACTTTTTGAATGTGGTAAGGGTACAATTGTTGTTCACGCAAAACTTTCCATACCGTGTTACGTCCGACTCCCACTTCTGAAATTAAATGAGAGAATCTGTGTAGTGAATAGTTAAGAAAGAGAATCCATTGATTTGGGAAATCAGATTTTTTCTGCATAACGCAACTCTTTTCGATACGAAAAGTCGTGAAATGTAAGAGAAGCAATAACAAGTAAAAAAACTAGTTTTATACGATAAGGTACGGGGTAGCTAAAATAATAAATAAGTAATTACTTACCATTTGCTATTTTTCTGGTACTTGTCGATGGGGTTTCAGCTACCCTATCCAAAATTGCTTCTTCCAAAGCAGGAGTTCTCACATAATTTTGTCTTCCACTGTTACTAGAGTTTTTCTTAAATGTACCAGTTTCCCGAAGTCTATCGTCAATTCTAGAAAACGTCTTAGCGCATGGAAGATGCCTATTTGGAAAGCGCTCCTGATAAAGTCTGTGAGCTTCATTGGCATTTCCAGAAGCGAGTCCAAAACATAAGTGCATGTCCGTCATTTCGCCGAATGTGTAATCATTATTGTAGTTATTGTGGGCCATTTTAAACAAAATAATAACAATACAACGAATCGCACCAGAACACTTTTAGAAATAATGTTTAACTGAACAAACATTTTTATCAGTGAGCGAAAAAAATTATCCATGAAACACAAAAACGCCAAAAAAATACATATTTTTACTTTTTTATTCTAAACAGCTAAATACAAACCTTATGGTCTTCATAATAAATAAATGGGAACTAAATTTTTAAATTTTATTTAGAGAGCTAAAAATAGTATACAGGGTGATTGATTAGTGTGAGGAAGCTCTGTAGATCTGTTATAATAAAAGTAGGCAGCTTTAAGCTTCACATTTTAAAATTAGTTACGATGTGACAGAGTGTTTCATAAGGCCGTGCCAAATCAAAGTTATGTTTTTTAAATGGAACACCCTGTATATTTTTATATTTTTAGAATCTGCTCGATAATCTGATTTCAATGATATATCACACTTGTTATCTAATATGAATAGTAAAGGATCTACAGCTACTCAAAAATCACATTTTTTCAAATTCAGGTGGCTGTTGTAGCCAAACAGTTGGAAATCGAGGAAAACGGCTTACAGTCCCTATCCTAACTTTTTAAGGTCTATTCAGTGACATAAAATATATATTATTTGATACAGGGTGATCAAAAATCCAAAATCACATCCGATTTTTGATCACCCTGTATCAACTAATATTTTTTGCTACTGAATAGACCTTCAAAAGTAAGGATAGGGACATGTAAGCCGTGTTCCTCGATTTCCAACTTTTTGGCTACAACAGCCAAAATTGAAAATTAACCTAAACTGCACGAATATCTTTGGATGATGTTTTCTCGGAAACGGCTGCTCCAATCGAGATCAAACAAGTATTCCTTTTTGACGTAGTTTTCAATGTAGAATGTAAAAAAAAAATATGGATAAGTCATTACCAAAAACACAAAAAAGTTATGAATAATCAAAATTTTCAAAAAATTCCCAAGTACACCCCTGACGAAATAATTTCTTTTTGAAGGTGTCAAAAGGTCACTATTATTGATCATATTTAACAGCCAAAATTTGGTTCTTTTATTTGTTTCCATTTTTAAGAAAATTCAAAAAATCAAAATAAAAAAAATGATTTCGAGAGGCTGTTGCTCGCTTAGGGGGCACTTTAGGACATAGGTCTATAGGAACTTTTTTTCCATTTTTTGGTTAAGGAATCTGCCTGAGAATTTTGGGACACATTTTAAAGGACACCCTGTATATTCACAAATAAAATTATTTGAAAAATTACAAAATAATTATTCTAAATAGACAGATATAGTTTAAATTCAAAAACAAAATGTTATTTGAAAATTTTGATAGGAATTAAAAAAATTGTTAAAATGCAGTTACGTAAAATTCAGAGTCAAAGTCCTTTTTTCAACATAATTAAATTTTTACATCATCTGAGAGATATTTAATTTTTACCGAATAAGAAACGTGCGAAGGCCTTTTTCTCATTTTGATTTTTTTTTTTCAAATTTTGTTTCAGGGATATGGACGGCGTTGGCTTTTCGCTAGCGATAGGGGCACTGAAAGCTTTAGCCTTTGTGTACGACGTCCTTACATTCCCCGTGTACATCATCCTCCAAAGGCCATGGCGGCTACGCCAACTGTCCAGAACTATAAAGGTCAGTCACAATAGCGTTCCCGATCATGTTCCGAGACCGATCATAACTTAAAAATTATTAAACGATGGTTGCCTGTTCTAAAATTGCACGCTTCGGTTGTTATGTCTTTGTATATACGAGGGTAGATTGGAATGTTTCTAGAATGAACCAGTAGATGGCGTTAGGCGTAACTGCTATCAACTCTAGTAAACTAGTAATCTAGTTAAAAGTTAAACACCATTTTTAGCATTTATTACTTGTCAGTTTGTCTGTTTTTACAAATTAATAATAATTTATTTGGAAAAGTAATGAAAAGTTTAGTTTAGGATTTGGATAATACGATAATATTTTTTTTTAATTCGTTACAAAAAGAAATTCAATATTAACTTTCAAAAGAACCCCGCACCATTTGGTAAAAGACACTCCATTTGTGCCCATGGCAACATAATAACTTAATTTGAAATAAAAAAAAAAGAAATTTAAAACAGTTTTGCCCTTCTTGTTTTTGATGTATTTTTATTTTAATACATTTTTGTTACTTAATTTTATTTGAATAAACGTTTACTTTTCATAAAATTGGACTGCTTAAATGTAACTGTTACTATTTGTAATGATTTTCTTCTTTTAAACAGAAACAGATTAAGTTTTTGGTTCTCAATCATATATTATCATAAAAATAAATACAATTATTTTCTAAAAATATGTTTCGTTCTAGAAATGTTCCGATATATTAATGTTTTTTGTTTATGTCGTTTAAATTGTTTATATTTTTGTAAATAGAAACTAAACAATGGGTAATTATAAATAGATGAATGGAAACAAATCTGCAGATTTTACGATTGATTTAATACATAGTTAATTACAAAAAAAAACAAAAAAAAACCTAAGTTTGACTAGAAAAAATAGGAAGATTTGTTTTTCAGGTGCCATGGTATATTAATAATAATAATATCATCTAATGTATACAGTACAAAAAAAAACAACGCGAAACATTTGTGTCTAATTGAAAGTATTATAATTTTTTCTTTTTAATCTTATTTCCATAAATTTTTTAGCATACTATATAATTTAATCAAATTTAATTTGTATATTTAGTATTTTCATAAAAATCAATATTTGACCTATTATACAGGGTTAATCGAAGGGCTGTTTGTACCCTGAATCACTCTGTGGGATAATGTCGCTAGCGATTTTTCTTAAATCATTATTTTTCTTTTAAAACCATGTCTCCTCGACATTTGGTTTTTTGGTTCATGTAAATACGTGCATTGGTTCATTTTTTGGTCTAATAGGTCATTAATAGGTACATAGATTTAATATTACCTCACAAAAGTTGATAAAAGTTGTCGAAAATATCTAACTCAAAAATCATAGAAGACATTCGTAATTTTACTCATCATTTTTGACACTTTTATTTCTTCTTTACAAATTTTGCAATAGTATTTTTTTTTTATTTTCTGAACCAGTGCCTGTTTTAGAACTGCATCAATAAATTTGTCAAACATTTTTGATGTAGAAATTTTCTCTAAAAAGAATTGTGAAATATTATTTAATCTGCTAAATAATTTTTTAATATTTAAACAATATTTTGTAGAAAAGCCACTCAAATGCTGCAAATTTCTTCTTTATCATACTCTTATCGCGTAATATTTCAATTTAACGTTAGTGGTATATTAACCTATTGGTCTTAAAGATTGTTAATTAGCGTTGATGTGACAAGCTGGAACAGCATTTAGCAAGTAAAATAGATATAATTTTTTTCAAAACCTGAGATTAAGAGTTTGTGTTAATTTTAAATAGGTTTTATTAAACAAATTCTTACCGGTGTAAACATACAGTCTATTCGCTATACTTACGCGGGTTTCGGATTAACAAAATTAAGCAAATTGGTCATTGACAACCAGTTCCAATAAGCCTCTTCCCAAGAAATTAGGTAAAATTGCCCTAATGGTCAGATTTAAATTAAAATAACATTAGGGTAGATACTAAATTTGTTACAAATATTGCAGCTGAATTGATTCTTTGCAAGTGTTGACATTGTATGTATATTGTAAATTTAGTGGAAATTTTAAAAATGCCTAGACGTGTGTTAGATGTAGATAGTCTAATTTGTAGTGTACATAAGTATTTTACGGATGAAAAAGAAAATGGCGATCCTTTAAAATCGGTAATGTCTGTACAACAACGCGTATGGGATGCTCTAGGAATTAGTGAAATCAAATTAAGAGGAGTATTACAAAATCACAATAGTGAATAGCCGAAAGAAAATCACCGCAAAACTCGCCCATCATTGAAAACGAAAGATATTCCAGATGGAAAGAAATTTGAAATTCGTGATACCATTTATCGAATGAGGGCCAACAAGGAACATGTGACCTTAAAAACAATTCTTTCGGAATTAATAGATAAAAAATTTGACGACATTGGCAGAACAAGTCTATGGCAAGTGATACATAACTTGGGTTTCAAATTTCAAAAGGAGGATAACAGAAAGGCCTTTTGTGAAAGAAGTTCTGTCGTGCACAAGAGAATTAACTTTCTAAGAAAATATTCTAAATTTACAGATCAAACTTTCAGGTACTTACCTGGAAATACTCATAAAATTTTTAATCCGAAACCTGCGTAAGTATAGTGAACAGACTGTATTTTGTTTTTAAAGTATGGTAATTTTAATTAACATAGATGTGATATTTGAAAGAACATCCTATTATCAAATTTCGGTAGAAGTTTAAACTGATTTTGTCCTATTTCTTGCCTAATAATTAACTGACTCAATTTGAACGACGGTACTGATCGTTCGGTAATATCCGAAATTTTGGCTGCTAGAAATTGGCTGCTAGAGGTTTGTTCCAACACAATAGCAAATCGGTTTACGTACTGTCATGATTCTGCGCAGTCTAGATTTGGTGTTCCAACAAACTTCGGACTCAAAACTGTACAAAAACCTAGTGTTCCAACAAACTCAAACCTAATCACAAACCAGTTTCTGCACTGTCAAATCAGTTCCTGGGTCTAAATATGAACGAATTGTCAAGACATGCGCAAAACGAAAGTGAGCTCATAAATAAACCACGACCAACTCTGGAAAATTGAAAATTTATTGATTATATTTGTTTTGATAGCATCGATCGTAGTCTTGATCCAAAGATTACATTACTATTATCGATTGTAATTTAGTTTTTATTCATTATCATTATTTAGTCTACTATTATTGTATAATAATATGTGTATCTGTTGACTTATTAATAATGAGTTTTGGAGTGAAGAAAGTGAAAAAGACTATTGTTCTGACTTAAATATAGTACACAACTAAAATAAATAAAGTTTAATGTACTAACCAATCGAATAATCAAAATGTATAAATCTTTTAATAAGTTTTATAATTTTTTTATTTTCCAAATTCAAAATTTAACATTTGTTAAATTTGCTTTGACTTTGACGTTATTAACAGAGTGTGTCTGACAACACAATAATGTGTTCCAACACATCCCAGTTCCGAATCGCGTCCCAATCCTCGACAGGTCGTCGACTATCAGTCGTCGACAATAAGTTGTGGACTGGTTTATGTACGGTCCCAAGATTGTTGTTGGAACAAACCTTAGGTTCACCCCGGTCAAATTCATCATGCTGTCATGATCAAGTGTCATAATATTACTGATAAGGGTTCATTCATCTCGTAATAAATCTAGTCTGGTAAATAAATAAAAACGCACCTAAATATTTATATTGGGAATTACAATAGGAATCACAATTTTTTTTAAACTGATATTGCAGTGAATGTAAATGGATTAAATACTAAAACTATTCAGATTATTATTATTATTATTATTATTATTTTAATGTCTTAATAACGAACATTTGTTATGCAAACATCTCGTTAAAATAAATGGTGATAAATCTTTAATATTATTAGATACTCTACCGCAATTATTATTATTATTATTGTAGGAATTTTTGTAAACATCAATTTACCTGATTTGTTTCCATTCGTTAATGAAAAACACGATATTTTTTTTTTGTTATGCGAATTACATAAACATTCGCAATATTTTGTAGATACAAAAGATTTTTTATTAGTTTGACAATTGCTTATTGCTAATTTAAAAAAAAGAGCTGAAAATGAGCAACATATAAACTACAAATGCAATCAGCTGTATATTGAAAATTGGGTGTGGGTGTAATTTTTTTTTTTATTAGATTTTAACAGTCAAAGGTATCAACTAATATGGTTATTAGTCTCTAGGGGGGATTACCCCGTTGCCCCCCTTGGATCTGTCGGTGAAAGAATCAATCTTAATTTCAGTTCTAACTTAACTTATAATATAATCAATAAATTATTCATTGTAAAAGTTAAACAATATTATGGAATTAAAATTTAGGAGTCAGGTTTCCAGATATAGGTCATTTCTGTGTAATTTATACCTAATTGGGCATGGAATTTCTTTAAATATGATGTTGATCAAAATCAAGTAATTTTTCACTTTACTATATTTATTTTTACTTTAATTATATTTTAAAAAACTTGATTTTGATATTTTCTTTAACGCAAGTGCAATAAATTAAGTTTTCGCGTATCATTTAATTTAAAATTTGAGAAATTATGTACCCAGTTAGATATGACTCGATTTAAAAATGATTGTGGTTATAGTCCAAGAGCTTAGGTTAGGTATTCTAGGTTATTTAAAATGATAAAAATCAATATTTTTCCTACGACCACTTAGGAAAGTGACACATATCACACTATATAGTCCTATGGAAAGTGCGAATATGCTACTTTCCGCATCAGCTGTCACAAAATGTCAAACGCATCATTTCTATTTTGATCTATGTAATGTCCATATTAATACTAAAATCGATATGATTGTTAAATAATTGAAATTGTTGTAAATTACATCGTAGATATTTATCTTTAACAATTATTATTAAAATAATTTTAAAATAAAGTTATGTTTGATTTTATCTTGGTTAAATAGATAACCGATTAGATCAAGGTCTATTAGCTCAGGTGGTAGAGTATCAAA